TGTTCATACATTTTCATTGGCACACTCCAGTCTGTTTTGCATTGTAAATACTACTTACCAAACCACAAAGCCTGACCTACGCAGCTATTTTAACTGCATGTGAAGATGAACGCATCATGTTGAAAGTCTGTCACCAGAAGCATTGGAACACACCTAGAATGTTTGGTTTGTACAAAGTCATGGAGGAAGAAGTACCTCAAATGCATCACCTGTGCTTTCTCTGCAATCAGCAGGAGACATCCATCTGTAACTGATGTTCAGCCACTAGAAAGAAAAGGACATAAAAGCCCAGAGGTTGCAATGCAGCGCACCACAGTGTATCGACAATTGACATCTGCGGGCTGTTGTGCACTACAGTGCAGGTCCACATTTTTTTTTTCTTTTATTGTATATGTCCCCAGGGTGCCATTTACAATGAATGGCAACTTACATGTAGCATGTGGTAAGACACACGTTACCAAAGTTAGGGCAATGTGAAGGTACCAACAGACCACAAGGGGCTATTTGCACCAAAAATTGCAGTGGCATACAAAATAAGAAACATTAGAATAAATCATTTTTCTGTGCTAGTCACTAAAAAAATAATGTTAGATTGTATTACAGGGATTCCTTTTTTCATTCCATTGACTTAAATGAGCCTAAGAACATTGAACACCACAGTCAGCTGGATTTTTCTTTGGTTGCATTAAACACCATTATATTTCCAGCGATCCTGCAAGCTGCTGTAGTGGAAAAACAAAGCAGAACACACAGTAGTACTGTTAGTGAGGACAAAGCCTAGAAGACGTTTTGCTCAACCCTACTTAGGTCACAAATGTTTGCAGACACATTGGCATAAAATGTGCCTAGTGGAAAATTCCCAGTGGTTTTCCATTCCTGAGGTGCCGCAGGTGGGGCGTACAGCTCATCACAGAAGCAAATGGCTGTACACCCTTGTACTTGTTAAATGCTGACACTTCCATGCACTGGTGTTTACCCATGCATGCGTGCACAACATATTCCCCAAACTCAGGTGTTTAGATCTAAAGCAAATCATTAAAGTGTTACTAAACCCAGGACCCTGCATTCACTATATCTGGTCCCCCACAGTATGCAGAACATGGAAATGCAGTTATTTTAGTAAATATAAACTGCTAAATACCTTTTCTCATCAGCAGTTAGAGCAGTCTTGTGACTTCTACCAGTGTCCAATAGGCACTGGTTAAAGCTTGGAGGAGGAGTTTTCATTCTCCCCTGATTGTCCCATGAGGCTTCAGAACCCCTAACCCTCTGTCTGGACAGTGCTGACTGGCCCTGTGCTGATCACATGCACCCACCCAAGGAAAAAAAAAAAAAACTCTCTAGCAATACACACCAATCAGAACATGTGCAGCTTGCCTCCAAGGCTCTATGGAGATGGATTGGGGACAGTAAAAGAAGGGGAGGATCAGAGAAGACAGGATCAAACATCCTTTTTAATGCGGAGGATTAACCCCTTAGGTTCCACAGTGAGTATAACAAGCATGCTTTACTGCATCTACAGACTGATTTTACTGTTGTGGGTTTAATGTAAACACTGGGGTTGATTTAACTAAAATTGGAGTGCAAAGACTGGTGCAGTTCTGCCCATAAACATTCAAGGTTTCTTTCCAAAGCTTAAGTCTTCATGCACACTGGACGTTTTTACAGCTACTGTTTTTGGCTTTTGATGTTTTTTTATACAGTTAGTAAACCCCCCACCATGTTATTCTATGTGTCCATGCACACAGATTGCAATCAACGTTTTTTGGCTGGGACGTATTTTGTTTGGAAAAAAAAACCCAGGACTAGTGGGTTTCTAGAAGAACACTGAAAAACATGGAGATACACCCCAAACCGGCGTTTTTGGACTTTTTTTGCGTGACCAAAAAAAAAAAAAAAAAACTAGAAACCGCAAACACGGCAAAACGCTCATGCAAAAAGTCACATTAGCTGTGTAAAGTGACATTACACAGCATGCCTGGGGGTACCAGGAAAAACTGTCACTATCTTAAAGGATACGTTCACCTTTGGGAATATGTTACATATTTCACCCGTTTTCAGGGGTAACATGTTCCTGCAGCCAAAACAATAGTAAAATACTGCCACACCTCACCGCCTTGAGTGACAGGGCTAAGAAGGGGTGGGGGTGTGTGTGTGTTCCAATCCTCTCAATAGGCCGCACTACAAACGGCAAAGTGACTCATGCACCTCATTAAGCTTTGCGTGGTTTTTTTGGACATGTTTGGGATGCTATAAACAATAAATGGCAACGCAAGAGTGAGATGCGTTTTTTGTATGTGAATGATGCCTTACATCTAAAAATATATGCCAAAGTGCAGTGCCTTAGTGTATCAGAAGGTAACAAACAGTAATCATGAAATAATATAGTGAATGAATAAATGAAACAGTTCCCTGAAAATCCACCACTAAAGGGAGTTGGATTATCCACAATGCCACCTAGGTGTGCTTGTAAGGCCTCATGCACACTGGGCATTTTAAAACCGCAGGTAGCATTAGCTGTATAAAGTTGCGTTAGCGACACGAGTTTGTTCGCCTTTTTTAGCGTTTTTTGCAATAGCGTTCAGTTGTGTTTTTCCGTGTTAGCGTTTTTTTTTTGGTTTTTTGCTTTTCTTGCCAAAGCCCCTGAGCACAGCTTAATAAAAGCCTATGTGTCCATGTACACAGGTGTTTACCAGAGTTTAGAGGCAGTAAATGCTCCTCTCTGGAATGCAGAAGAAATCACATTCAGGAGTGGAGTTTTGGCAGAAAAACACTTGGACTTGCAAAAACACATGTAAACACACATTAACACTAGGCACCTTTAGCACTGGAGCGTTAATTTATTTCAATGGCCCAAATAAATTAGTATTCTGGTCAATGAAATGAATTGACACTGCTAAACATGGTACACTGCTGCCAGGAGAAAGGCATTCAGGCTACGTTCACATCTGTGTGGGTGGTGCCGCTGCAGACCACTCGCACAGAGAAATGCGGACCTGCGGCGGGTGCCATTAGTTCTGATGGCATGCCGCCCGCACTGGAAAAAAAACGCAACCGTACTGCGAACCGAGGACCCAGTGCGGGCTGCGTTTTCAGAAGAAGTGCAGGGACTTCTTCCCTGCATGTCATGGGCGAGGGAGTCCATTCAAATGAATGGGCTCTCGTGCCTGTGCAAAACGGGGCCCGCATGGCCGCATATATGTGAACCAGGGATAAGGGAGTGTTCAGTATGCATGAAGCCTCAAAGTGTTCCTCCCCACCCCTTAAAACACCACTATATGCTGCAAAATGGTTATAAATAAAAACACATACAATGCTAAAAAACATACAGAAATATCCAAGTGTACGCACCAATATACTGTATGTTTGGCATTTCCAAGTGTTCTCAATCATGCCAGCATAATAAATATTCGGAAAATAAACAAGTATGTCTGGAACAGGATGTCGGAAAGGCATTGTACCACACATTTTGCCTTGGGTACACCTTTGGGTTGGACAAATTAACCAACAATTTGGCCAACCAATGAATCCTCTAGAAAGTTTTACATAGGAATTACAAGTACTATTATAGAAATGATCCCCTTAATAAAAATCTTCTACGATTTTAGAAATACAACCTTTACTGAATGAAAACAAGGACTACCATAGCACTGGCAAATTCAATGGTTCAGTATGGTGGTGTTTTGTGCGACTCCCCAGCAGAGTCACACAAAGCTGGCATTCTCAAATTCCTTCCATATGTCAACCTCCTTTTCGGACATTTGATGATGCTGTGCTCAGTGTAAATGAGGAGTACAACCAACAGAAGAACTCAACAAAGCAAAGGCCAGTTTTCCAGGATTTCTTCAAATCCCTTTCCTTGATTTTGGTTGTCAGGTTTGCTGGGGGCAGTCACCTGAATTCTGAGGACTTGGGTAGACCTCAAGGGCTTGTTCACACTAGACTAAAACGCTCCTATTGCATTAGTATGGGCGCTAGACTGGCGTTAATGAGCTTTAGTATGGGCGTTAGAATGGCGTTAATGAGCTTTAATATGAGCGCTAGACTGGTGTTAATGAGCTTTAGTATGGGCGTTAGACTGGCGTTAATGGCGTTAGTGGCGTTAATGAGCTTTAATATGAGCGCTAGACTGGCGTTAATGAGCTTTAGTATATGGGCGTTAGAATGGCGTTAATGAGCTTTAATATGAGCGCTAGACTGGTGTTAATGAGCTTTAGTATGGGCGCTAGACTGGCATTTTAGAAGTGCTAAAATCGCTCCCCAAAACGCCCTATGTACAGTTCAGAAGTGTTTTACAAGCGTTAAAACCTCACCACAAAACTGTAATGTCATTAACACGCCACAACACCACTGCAAATGCCTCGCAAACACCTGCCAGTGCATTTTGGAGCGTCACCATACGCTTGAATGGGAGGCGTTGAAAGGCTTCAAACCTCCACACTCAACATGAGGCTTCAATTTTGAAGCGACACAAATGCTAATGCTTCCGGTTTTGATAATGTGAACAGCACTGTGTGCTGTCCATAGTATTGTTTGCATAGGCATAAGAGGAGCGTTAAAAACGCCCCCCAAATGCCTGCTTTCAATGCCAGTGTGAACTAGGCCCAACAGATACGAAACACATTTCATCATATATGCCTAGTTATTTTGTCAGAGTCTGGACCAAGCACTGAAACTACATTCATCATAGGCAGCTGCAGTTTACATCTACTGGCTCCTGACACAGAAAGTATGCGGCAGCAAAGAACGGACCAAACTGAGGCCATCAACTGGGGTTCAAAGCAATGTAGCCAACAGAACAACTGCAACTATTCACACCTTGAAATCCTGTTGGATGATGTTAACATGCTTTTTCTCACAAGCTAACATGCATTGCATTAAGGAAGTGTTTACATATATGCTATATTGTCAAAATTATTTGAGACACCTCTCCAAATCACTGTATTCAGGTGTTCCAATCACCTCCATGGCCACAGGTGTATAAAATCAAGCACCTAGGCATTCAGACTGCTTCTACAAACATTTGTGAAAGAATGGGTCTCTCTAAGGAGCTCAGTAAATTCAAGCAAGGTACCTGTGCTATAAGTCCATCTGTGAAATTTCCTTGCTACTAAATATTCCACGGTCAACTGTTAGTGGTATTATAATAAAGTGGAGGCAACTGGAAACAACAGCAACTCAGCCATGAAGTGGTAGGCCAAATTACAGAGCGGGGTCAGCGCATGAGGAAGTGCACAGTGTGCAGAAGTCACCAACTGTCTGCAGAGTCAATAGGTAAAGACCTCCAAACTTCATGTGGCCTTCAGATTAGCACAACAGTGCATAGAGAGCTTCATGGATTGGGTTTCCATGAACAAGCAGCTGCATCCAAGCCTTACATCACCAAGTGAAATTCAAAGCATCGGATGAAGTGGTGTAAAGCACGCCACCACTGGACTCTAGGGCAGTGGAGACGTGTTCTCTAGAGTGACTAATCACGCTTCTCTGTCTGGCAATCCGATGGATGTGTCCGTGTCTGGCTTTTACCAGGAGAACGGTACTTGCCTGACTGCATCACGCCAAGTGTAACATTTGGTAGCTGGGGGATTATGGTGTGGGGTTGTTTTTCAGGGGTTGGGCTTGGCCCCTTAGTTCCAGTGAAGGGAACTCTTAAGGCATCAGCATGACCAGACATTTTGGACAATTTCATGCTCCCAACTTTGGGTATGGTCCCTTCCTGTTCCAACATAACTGGGCACCAGTGCACAAAGCAAGGTCCATAAAAAACATGGCTGAGTGAGTTTGGGGCAGAGGAACTTGACTGGCCTGCAGAGTCCTGACCTCAACCCAAAAAAAAACACCTTTGGGATGAATTAAGGGCTCGTTCACACTAGGCTGTTTTGCCAACACTTGCCAAACGCCCCTATAGCGTTTGGCAAGCGTTGGTCCGGTGTTTGCGGAGCGTTTTTAACGCTCGGCAAACGCTCCGCAAACTCCGCATGCGCGGTTTAGCGGCGGTTGCTAGGCGTTTGCCGAGCGTTAATAACGCCCCACAAACGCCTATAATGCATTTGAGTGGTGTTACCGCTCCGCAAACACCCCGCAACCGCGTCGCAACCGCACCGCAAACGCTGGCCGGGCGTTTGCGGAGCGGCACCATAGACGAGAATAGGAGGCTTCAAAGCCTCCTGACTCGACCAGAGGCGTCCGTTTTGCCGCGACGCAACGCTCCTGTTAGAACAGCACCATGTGCTGTAATGTGCAGAATTGGCAGAGGCGTTTGGGAAGCGGTAAAAACGCTTCACAAACGCCTCTCTGCCGCCTGCACACAAGGCTAGTGTGAACGTAGCCTAAAGGGGAGAAAGCAAGCCAGGCCTTCTCATGTGACATCAGTGCCTGACCTCACAAATGCGCTTCTGAAAGAATGGACAAAACAGTCCGATAGACACACTCCTAAACCTTGTGGACAGCCTCCCCAGAAGAGTTGAAGTTGTTATAGTTGCAAAGGGTGGGCCAACTCAATATTGAACCCTACGGACTAAGACTGGGATGCCATTAAAGTTCATGTGCATGCAAATTTTATGGTACAGTTCATAGAGGCCCCTACTAGGAATGATGCTGTGCTGGACCTGGTAATCTCAAACCATGCAGAGCTTATTACAAATATCCATATAAAAGAACATCTAGGTAGCAGTGACCATAACATGATTTCATTTATTGTTAGCTGTAAACAGCGAGCACATACGGGAAAAATAAAAACACTCAATTTTAAAAGAGCTAACTTTCCAAGGCTGAGAGCTGCTCTCCAAGACTGAGACTGGGACGGAATATTGGCATCGATGAACACAACACAGAAATGGGAGTTCTTCAAAAAGACTGTATGTGGACACACTGCAAAATATATTCCCATGGTCAACAAGTTTAAAAGGCTAAAAATCAAACCTATGTGGCTTATGGGCAAAGTTAAAAAAGCTATAGATAATAAGAAAAGAGCTTTTATTCAATATAAAAATGAAGAAACGCTATCATCGTTTAAACATCACAAAGAATATAACAGAATATGCAAAAAGAACATATAGGACGCAAAAATTAAAAACAAACAACAGATTGCAAAAGATAACAGGACCAAGCCCAAAAAATTTTTCAAATTTATTAATAGTAAAAAGGTCCGGTCCGAGCACGCAGGCCCTTTACAAAATAATCTAGAGTGGATGACTGGGGACAAAGAGGAAGCAAATGCATTTAATACCTACTTCAGCTCTGTGTATACAAAGGAGCATGGGGGAGCTCTTGTCCACAATGGGCATGGTATTGACACAGCTCCAGATGATCCACATTGGCTCACAATTGATATGATCCAAAAATATTTAGACAGAATAAAGGTGAATAAAGCACCTGGACCGGATGACATACACCCACGGGTCCTTAAAGAATTGAGCTCTGTTATTTCAAAGCCATTGTTTCTAATTTTTAGGGACTTTTAAATGACTGGCATAGTACCACTGGATTGGCGTAAGGCCAATGTGGTGCCAATATTTAAAAATCTTTACCAAGTAATTATAGACCTGTTAGTTTAACTTCTATAGTTGGGAAGATACTGGAGAGTTTAATAAAAGAACACATAGATGAGTTCTTGCTGGAAAAAAATATTTTAATCAACAGACAGCATGGATTCATGAAAGACAGAAGTTGTTTCTTTTTATGAGGAGGTGGGCAAAACCTTGGACAGAGGGGTGGCGGTGGAAGTGGTATACTTGGATTTTGCGACCTCAATACACTGTTTAATTGGCCAATGAGGTTTAATGTTCATAAATGTAAGGTTATGCACTTGGGTGCTAAGAATATGCACGCATCATACATACTATCCCTGTACAAATCATTAGTAAGACCTCATCTGGAATATGCAGTTCAGTTTTGGGCACCAATTCACAAAAAGAACATTGGGGAACTGGAGAAAGTACAGAGAAGGGCAACCAAACTGATACGAGGCATGGAGGAGCTCAGCTATGAGGAAAAATTAGAGGAACTGAATTTATTCTCTCTTGAGAAGAGGAGATTAAGGGGGGATATGATCAACATGTATAAATCAGTGGTTCAAATAGTGAACTCAAGGTGTAGAGTTATTCACAGAGGACAAGGGGACACTCTTTATGTCTGGAGCAAAAGAAATGTAATCTCCAAACACGGAAAGGTTTCTTCACAGTAAGAGCTGTGAAAATGTGAAATAGACTCCCTCAAGAGTTGGTCCTGGCCAGCTCAGTGGATTGTTTGAAAAAAGGCCTGGATTCTTTCTTAGATACACAGAATATAACTGGTTACTATTTTTAGGTAAAGTTGACCCAGGGAATATCTGATTGCCTCTCAGGGGATCAGGAAGGAACGTTTTCCCCTGCAGGAGCAAACTGAATCATGCTGGGGTTTTTTGCCTTCCTCTGGATAAACTATGGGTATAGGATAACTTTTTTTTTTTTTTTTAATGGTTGAACTGGATGGACTTTTGTCTTTTTTCAGCCAGGCTATCTACTATTATACAGGATTTATATAGCGCCAACAGTTTACACAGCGCTTTACAATATAAGGGAGACAGTACAATTACAATATATTTCAGTACAGAAGGAATATGAGGGCCCTGCTCATGGAGCTTACAAACTATGTAGCTATGTAGGCAGGCATCCCAATACTTTTGACAATATAGTGCAATTGGGCTGGCAACCCATCAAAGCACCAAATTTTTGCAATGCACAGTATTATGTTACCAAATGCTGCAGTGCATTGCAACACATGTATTTCCCTAGTGCACTAGGTGACAATGGATGCCACCTCAACACACGTAACGCAAGTTATGGTCATGTTACCGTGAGTAGGAGTGGGCCCTTCAACCTGGACAATGTTAACCTATAAAACATGCATGATAGAATCATTTTTCTATGTAAAAAAGGGAATAGCCCTTCAATGTCTGCAGTGCTAAATAACTTCCAGTGCTACAGTCACTACCATACCAAACAATCATATGAGGTCAGGCCTTTTGTCCTTGGGTTTTAGAGATGAAAGGTTTTGGTTTGTGCACAGTAAATAAAAATGTATTACATTTTACATCTCTTGATCTGCTCTACGCGCATGTAAACAGGAAAACATAATAAATAAAGAACAAGATGCAATGCTTAAAAGGTAACATTAATGCTGCAGAAAATGCACACAAGGTCACCACCCTGGCCTGCTTTCTAATGTCCTTGAAATATAAATCCTCAAAAGGTTCAACTTCTATCGTATGTGTTTAAAAAAAAAAAATCTGATTTTCAAAATGAAAATGTTCTGACTGAAACACCAGTCAGCACAACTCCTCATATAAGCGAATTTAAAAAAAATGGTGTAAAGTTTAACAGCCATGTGGTAAGCAAGGAAACTCATGTTCACTAATGAAATCTCTATCTACTTATTTGAAAGGGATCTGTAAAGAGATTAATTCTGGCAATTACTGCACTTTACTTAGTTTCCATACATAGGATTTCCATCCTGCCCAGCTGGCATTGCTTCCGGCTGACTACGTATAAAAAATCTTTAAACAAAAAAAAAAAAAAAAAACTCACAAGTAATTGAGCCATTTTCCTTTGTGTGAAAACAAATACTCCATACTCATGCCTCCTTGTGCTCCCAGTCCTTGGCACTGGATTCACATCACGTGCTTTGCATTTGGTGCATGTTGATGCATGCTAAACACACTTGAGTTGAAGTGCATGGAAATTATTTTTAATGCATCGCACTGCTGTTTTTTTTTTTTTTTACCACACCAGTAACCAAAATACTTCTTAGTTTTTAATGTTATCTATAATATGCACTGTAGTGAAGTGACAGATTTGTCACATGAGCCTAATGAACTGAATGTAGATTGGCTTATTGCTGCAATGAGGACTGGTTAAAGGAGAAGTTCACCTTTGGGAACATGCTCCACCCGTTCTTTGGGTGGAACATATAACATTTTCTGGTTTCTGCAGCCACCGCCCGATCCTCCCCCCTCCCTGTGACAGCAAGCGGGGGATCTTCTCCCCGCACCTGCTGTCACCAGTTGAAAAAAGCACATCTGTGTGGGGCTCCGCCCACACAGCTGCATCATTCGTTCACAGAGTTCTGAGAGTGAATGAACTACAAGTAACATCACCCCTTGCGGCTGCTGGCTTGTAGTTCTCAATGAACTACCAGGGTGCTGTTGAGCACCCTGTCATTTTGTAACTGCCTGCCACTATGATGTACGGACAGACAGCTTACACTGACCATTTTCAGGAGCCCTGCATTGCACCCGCGAACTGCTGATCACAGGTGCAATGTTTTCCAGGCTCCTACAAAAAGAAAAAAAAAAGTGAATGTTGACAGAGTGTGAAGTTCCACTTTAGGATGT